TTACAAAGTAGATTTTTAGTATAGATTTTATTAAATATTATTTAGTTATTTTTAGTTATTATTATTCAAAATATTTGTATTTTTATATAGTTAAAATATTAGATATACTTATTATATTATTATATATTAGTTTTATATATATTTAGATAGAATATTATATAGCATTAATATAGAAATATTTTGATTGGCTATTGAAAGTGTGGTATAGTCATATGACCTCACATGACCTTAGATGATACAAGGTTATACGATGCATACAAGCTAAAGACAGACAGTTACACAAGCCTGTTTCAAATTTTAAAATATGCATCCAGCCTTAAGATTTTAGGTCCGAAGCCAATCAAATCACTGTAATTTGTTACACAAAATTTTATAAAAACAAAGCATTTTGTATAATTAATTTTTTAACTAATAAAATTATATATTTAGCTCACATGATGTTTCAAATTTATACTATTTACTAATAGCAATTAGTAATAATTAGTAACTTTAAACTGTTATAACTTTTTTAATATTTGGAATTTTGAAAAAATTTAATTGTTATTAGATTTGTTTAAGTCTAATCTATTAAATAACAATGAGTTTTTGACAAATAATTTTTTTTAAAAAAAGTAGTAGCCATTTAAAATTAGTGGCTGTCTTTAGCTTGTACGCACTATACAAAGGATACTTTAGATTACACAAAGGTATTATACAAGAAAGTAATACAAGTTCACCTTCTTCCTCTATACGAACACCTTCTTCCTCCACATAAACACCTTCTTCCCCTGCACGAACATCTAATTCCCCTGCACAAGTCCTAAATATTTTAAACACAAAATACTATGCAGCAAAGTCTTTTAATTTCCTCATACAAGATGTAAATAAATATAAACATGATGAATAATATTTATATGTCCTCTACTTCACCCAGTACAATTGCCTTCTTCACTCAATACAATCACCTACTTCCCCTACATAAGTTCCCCTTCTTCTTCTGCCAAGTGTTACTCATTTACTATGCATTGTGTATCTTCTCTATGGGTAAAAAGATATATAAAAGGTGTCTTTTCCCCTCTCTATCAATTCTATAAGTTTCTATACTTCACTTAGACTTTTTTTTCTTTATATCTTTCTTGTAAATGTGATATTCCTCCTCTAGGATAATTCCTATAGACAAGGTTTATCCTGTATTCTTGCATGAAATAAAGTTATTCTATATACTGTTACTATCTCGAACTGTTTGCCTCCTGCTATATAGTTAAGTGAACAACTACACATCCACCTCATGTATATTTGTAAAAGTCAATCACTGCACTGGGTGATCTTGTTACTTGATTGTATTTTATTAAGAAGGCTACAACTTTGTAACAATATCCAGGCATTTAATAGTAAAACATATTGAATATATAGAAGTATTTATATAATGTATCCTCCTCACACAAGTACCAGGTACATAATATGAGCTAGGCGAATATCCTGGGTACTGTTATGACTAGAGAGCTTTTATATATCCAAGCCAATTTAGTCCAGCACCGTAAGCATAAATCCTGATGGTAAGTAGTACACCCGGATTTGTATGTAGTAATAATTATTGATTAATAGAACTATATTCGGAAGTGATCATCACAGATTATGCTTAGATCACTTAGGGTCCGGTCAGATTGTTATGGGTTACATATAGGTCCAAGTTAGATTACCGCAAGTTATGTTTTAGGTTCAAGTTAGGTTACCGCAAGTTATATTTAGGTTCAAGTTAGGTTACCACAAGTTACGTTTAGGTTTAAGTTAGGTTCTGATTGGTTACTATGTGTTACTTAATAAACAAGATCAGTGCGTATTATTTATTATTGGGTACAAAAATAAGAAAGAACTAGATTACATATCTACTGTAATTATTATTTGAGCAAAGTAAAAAAGAGTTACCTTATTTATTAAGCAAGCATCCTATTTATACATTTTGATAGTTAAGTATTTCAAACCCTGATCTGGAGTTTCAAACCCAGATCTGAGGTTTTAGACCCAGATCTGAGGTTCTACACCTAGACCCAGGGTTTCAAACTCTAACTTCATGTTTCGAACCCATACACATGTTAATTCTATTACATTCACATAATCTACTGCTTTTACATATAGGCAAGACGAACTATACAACAAAAAAATACAGTAAAGAAAATTTCGAAGAAATTTTCTATAACATATTCCTCCTCTAAAGAGTAAGCTCTATCGAACCCGCCAATATCCTCCTGGTATCAACCTCCCTTTACCTCCTTGCTTCCACCAACAATTTCATAAAGTCAGAGTCCAACATTTGCTCCAGCACCGAAATTGAAATATGGAGGCTTTTTAATAGAAAGAGGGAAAATTTCTTCTAAGTAAAAGTTTTTTAAACTTTCAATTAAAATATCTTAACAACTATTAATCTAAATTTAATAAATTTTTTTTTATTTTAATTTTATAAAATTATAAAATTAAAAAAATAAATTTTTATTAGATTTAATTTAATAGTTATTAAGATATTTTAATTTAAAAATTAAAAAAAAGTTACTTAAAACTTTTTCATCCTTTTCTATTAAAAAGTATCCATATGTTGAACCATATACATACTATATTCGCCACAGGTACTGAACAACAGATACGTACATTTGGCAATCTTCCAAACAAGGCTTCCCTTGGAACCCAGAAGTTGCTGAGCCAACTTTTTTCTTGCTTTGTCGCTCCAACCAGACTTAAACAATAAGCTATCAACTTTATAGTACGTTTCCAGAACATGGGTATTAGACTAGGTCTGAGAGTTCAAGTTTTTAACAGCATTACACGCCTGAACTAGTTTCTTTCCAGATTGCACTAGCAACTTCAACAGGTAACATGGGGTTAAACCCTACAGGACGGTCCAGGTCCCGAAAGTACAGGTGCATATCATCATAGATTTGCTGGGCTTTGCTTTTCTTCGTGGTCTTTTCAAACATCTCTTCTATTTCTTGGTCTTGGTTGCTTCTATTTTTTGGTCTTGATTGCGCAGTATTACTCACGTTCCTTTTATTTTTAATTTTTTTTCCGAATTCATTCGGTTGACAAGTTGCTAGATCGTTCTTCTTAATACTTCTAGGCATTGCTTTATTTATTTTTGCTAGGGTTTCTTAGAGAAAGTTGTTTTGTTTTTTTTTTTTTTTTTTTTTTTTTTTTTTTTTTTTTTTTGTTTTTTTTTTTTTCTTTTTTTATATATAGTTTTTTTTTTTTTTTGATTACTCAGTACTTGTATCATTTCACTCTACGTATCTCTTTAACTGACTTCTGTGATCATGTTCTTTCATCACCTTCCCACGAAGGCCTATTGTTTGTAGTTTATATGTTCTATTTCCCATTACATCATATATCTAATAGGGTCCTATCTACTTTTCCTTCAGCTTACCACCCAATTGTTGCTCCAGTTTAGCATAGTACCTCAAGACCTTATCTTCGATTTCAAAGCTTTGTAGCAGGTGCTGTCAATCATAATACTGTTTTTGCCTTTCCTGTGATTTGCATATGTTCTCTTGAGCTTGAATTCGTGCCTCAAATAGCTCATCTATCAACTTCATTGTTCGGGACAGAACCAACGATTTATATCACTCATCAACATTTAAGTCCACAGGGTAAGTTCTTTCTATCAATTCAATGAATAAGGTTGCTTCATGACCGTACATAAGGAAAAAGTGATTGAATTTCATTGTGCCATGCCTGGCGGTTTTATATGCAAATAGTGCAGGTGCCAAATAATTGTCCCAATCTTCATTGTACTGACTTACACATTTCGCCAATGCCTCACTAATAGTTCAGTTGAACCTTTCAACAAGTCCGTTACTTTGTGGATAATAAGTAGACGATTGCTTATGCTTTACTTTTGCCTTATCAAAAACAAACTTCATGACCTTATTTATGAAGTGTGAGCCTTGGTCAGACTGAATTATATGGGGCACCCATGTTGTACAATGATATTCTCCAATACGAATGCAGCCATTGATTCTGTGAAATAATCAGATAAGGCTTGTGTCTTGGGCTACTTTGTCAAGTACTCTACTATGGTTACAAGATAGTGATTCCTTTTCTTCGTAATGGGCAGGGGCTCTACAATATCCATTCAAATTCGATTAAACAGTTAGGTCACTTTTATCAGATGTAGTGCTTCCCTTGCCTTGGGCTTCCCTCTTCATTAACACACATCACAACTCTGCATGTAGTCTCTTATATATCTTACAAACTGGTTCCAATGGTACCTTTTTTTTATCTTTTCGATTATCGTTCCTTCACCCTAATATCCTGCTACAAGATTATCGTGCATAGGTTGTAATATCAAGGGGACTTGGCTTCGTTGTAGGACTCTTAAAGGTTGGTTAGGCATTTGTTTGTTTTTTTGATACAATACTTCTCGAACAATATATTGGCTCGGCTTGCATTCTTAGTTTTCGAGCTTGCTCCTTGTCGAATTCTTTTGGTATCTCCATCTCGATTAGGTATTAAGTCAGGTTTGTATAATTTCCAGGTTCCATTTTTTTTTTTTTTTTTTTTTTGTTTCTCTTTTGTTGGACAATTTGTTGCTTGTGTGCCAGGACACCATTACTTGGACTGGAATTGTGAATTTATGGTTTTTTTTTTTTTTTTGTTGAAGCACTGATTTAAGTAAAATATGCCTGTCCCGCTGTTGGTTAGTACGTTCTGTTTCCTTTTTCGATGCTTTTCCCCTTTTTT